TGTGCAAACCTAGCTCAACATACCAAGTGATCCATGCTCGGCTTACAAACCCCTGCAATCTACCTGAAGTCCGCACATCGCTTTTTACCTCTTCCCAACTGCAAGCATGTTTTTATATATATAAACATATATGTGGGTTCCCAGAAATGAAGGATACCTCTTCCTGTAATAAGTAGAAGTAGTGATTCGGTAATTTGTTTAGCTTCACAGGTTGGCTTCCACCGGGAATTTTGGAGTCAGCTAGTGAGGCTGCCTACCTGCAGGAAATACCTGAAGCAGACCTGTTTTATTGCGTTTTCCCAGTGAGCTCACAGCAAGTTCACAGCAAGACCACAGTAAAGCTTGGAGTATGGATGCATATGGCTGCACCAAAAAAAACGATTCGGTAAAGGGGACGTAAATATTGGAAATGTTTATCTACCTCATAGCACAAGCCAGAAACATATCCTAACATCTTCTGCGCACCCAAACTTGTTGCTGGAAGGCCTGATTGTCTTCTTCTTGGTTCGCGCAGCCATGGCATTCTCAACTAAGGTAAGCGCCATATGGTTGAGACGGATGATGTCGGAATTGTACGGGGATGCGACGGGGTTTCACACATGAGGCGCCACAAATGAGGATAGGTCGGGACATGTGGGATCGGGTGGGGGCTGGCAGCGCTGAATTTGGTGTTTTGGGTCTTGAGCAGAGGGATCGCTTGAAAAAAGGGTGGACTCTGAGCCAAGCTTGGCCACACCCAATTTCAGGAGCTGCAACTCTGTACTCTCCCATGCAGCATCAACAGCATTACTGCAATGAAGTGCGATGCAACTCTGAAGTTCTGCACTGGCTACATGCCCGTGCCTGCAACGCTCTGATTCCTGCCTGCTGACCAAGGTGGGTTTTCACACTGACCACCACCTTAGACCCTAAACCCCTACACCCCAAACCCGAAGAAGAGCTATTTCCTGAGTCCCAGTTCAGGCGTCGTGGATCGCCACTGGTTGCTTTGCAAGCGGACAAGCCGAAGCTCAGGCCGCCATCTGATCATGCTACCATGAGGGAACTTCTCTCAATAATAATACAACGTATATATTATTAATGAATCAGTACTAACCATTAACTAGTTATAGTTTATTAGTAATAGTAATTATAAGTATGATAGTAAGTAATAGTAAAAATGCAGCAGTAGCAATAGTAACTAAGGTCAAATCATGGCACTACTGGGCATGGTTTTTTCTGCCCACAGCAACTGGTACAGTAAGCGGCTGCGACCGTAGTCAGTGTGCTGGACTGGGCTGGTGGGAGTTGCAACCAAAACACCACAAGGGGTCTAAATTCCGCATTAGTTAAGCGAGACACGGGCTTCCACATGGACAGGAAGCGGCACTCAGATTTAAGGCAGTGAGAGGCAGCATTTCTGCGAAGCTACAAGTGTTTTCTACATCCGAGTGTTCAGCGGAAGCTGTCCCTCACTGCGCGCTCGCGGTCAAACTCAAGTCCACGCACCTAGTGTACCTAGTACTCTGCCGACTTGCATGTCGCTTCCGTACAGAACTTTTGAAGAGCCCCTCTCGAGAGACGAACTAGGCTTGTGTGGTTGTAGTTGTTCACTTCAAAGTCGCTACCTCTAAACAGACCCACGGAACAAATAGAAAGATGCTCATAGGACGTGGCTCTGTTTGTCCGTATATGATGAACTTGAAAGGCTTCAGGCAGGATCTTCTTCCCCTAAGTAAGCTCACATGAGCATTGTCTCTTTTATTCCCCCTAATTTTGAACAAGCCTTCTAACCCTCGTCTCTGGAACATGTCCTAAATATGTATCGTACACGCGGTGCGGGGGTTGAGGGGCTGGGGGGTTGAAGGTGTGCGGCTGGTGAAGATGAGCCTCGTGATCGCTGCGCAGGCAACATTGCAGCTAATCTTCCAGTCCCCAAACTGAGGAGGAATGACGCCATGTACATATTCCCATGTTGCTGAGTATGCTCCCTCTGTTCCTAGCACCGCTAATGAACAACATTATGTAACCTGGGAATCCGCCTTGCCATGACGTCTGGTTACAAATTTCAGCTTTGAGCCACCAAGTTGTAAGGACCAAAACCTTGAATAACCAACTCTGATGTTGGCTAAGTGTGACATACACTTGCTATGCATTAAGCAAGGGGCTTAAGAATCATAAAGATGACGTTCACGTCCGCATGCTCCGCTTTTTCAGGATCTGTTTGCTCAACAGCAGTCTGCGCAGCAAGCCAGCAGAAAGCACATACCGCGCTGTTCAGACCTCAGCCGACAGTGGACATTCCCGCTGAAAGCTTTGAAGGCCTTGCATCACATGTGGGCTTGTATTGGAGCTCAGCAGCATTTCCCAGATGATGCCTCCCTCCTTGCAACAACTCTCTGCTGCACGTGGCTTCAGACGGGGCCGCATGAGTTTCGTTGTCATAGCACAAAATGAAGACTCGGTAGCCATAGCAATCAACACTTCGCAGTAGAAAGTCTTAGTCCCTAACTACAGTCATAGCCCGTCCATGCCCCCCTCGCATCGGCCTGATGTTCGTGCTGCCCTTGCAACCACACATGCCACCCGCACCAAACTGCCACCGGCACCGAAATAGGGACGGCTATATTGGGCTCCTCTTAGGTATATATATATATATATGTGGGCTTGGGGATAATGGACAATGAAATGGAAACTACTCTACTTTAACAGGGTATATATAGGGGCTATATAGGGATAGTATACGGCTATATAGGGGTTATATAGGGGTTATATAGGGCTAATATGGGTTATATCGGGGTTATATAGGGATACTATAAGGCTAATAAAGGTTTTTTCTAAGGGACTCTCAGCTCCTCAGAGTAGCGTAGTGAGGCAGTGCGGCGCAGTGCCGCTGGGCACCTCTGCTGGATTGAGTATATATGGGGTTATGTAGGGGTTTCCCAAAATTAGGGGCGTAATGGTATATATATATATATACATAGGGGTTATATGGGTTATAGGGATTATATGGGGGTATATGTTGGGGTTGTATAGGGATACTGGACAAGAACGTGGAAACTACTGGGATATATAGGGATTATATAGTGTATGTATTGGGGTTATATAGGGAAAATGGAAAAGAACATGGAAACTCCTGGGGTTTATAGGGATTATATAGGGTATATGTTGGCGTTATATAATATAGGGATAATGGAAACTAGTATTTAGGGTTTAGAGTTAAGTTTTTCCTAAAATTAGGTGTACCTTTTTGGGGTTCCCTACAAAAGGATCATAATGAATTAGGGCATATGTTGGGGTCCCCTTGTTAAAGGAATACGGGCCCACAAGGAAGCGCTCACAAGTTTGCAGCTGCTCTAAGGAAGTGCCTTCAGCAAAGGACGTGGAACACGCAAAAAGAGAACACATTCACAACACCGAGGAAACACTGTTCATCTTTAACATGATGAGCACCTTGCTTTGACTTGGGATTTAAGCATCTGCCCTAGTTTTGGAAACTACCCACATTATGAGTCTGGACCTAATCTTACACTGAACTGCTTGAAGGCCTGAGCTTCTGATCTCCTTTTCTGAATGGACCACTGCGGTGCCGCTACAAGGACTACAATCTACTTTACAATCTACCAAAAAGATGCTGTGATTTTGAGGAAACCCTCCATGTTCTGCTCAAACTTTTCTTGTGGCATGCAGGAATGTGTCCGAAAGGGCTTGGGAGCCCGGCACTTCCCAAAGCTAACGCTCTTGCTGCTGTAGTTTCAGGGATTCACCAAAAGGAGTGCATCCCAAAATCTCATGACTGACAAACGTCCTACATACTCCTGAGAAGTTCCGGTAATTTTGAGAAGAGCAAAGGCAGATGCCGTTAAGGTGCCAGAAGGCACCGCAGCAGTAGGCCACCACATTCCACACCATGGAGCCTCAAATACTCTGGCCATGGTTAACAATGGACTTCAGATGCTTCTACAGCGGTTACGTGCGCAACATGGAAATTCTAAAGCGGTTGTGTGAACTTTGGGATTGCAAAGCCATAATCACCACACATCACCACCATAAAAAAAATCATGGGTCCCTGAACCCTAAACCCTAAATAGTAGTTTCCATTTTCTTTTCCATTATTCCTACAAAACCCCTATATCCCCCCAATATTCCTATATAATCCCTTATATTCCCCCAATATTACTAGAAAACCCCTATATTACCCCTCTATAAAAAAATCACTATGGTAGCTTCCATTTTCTTTTCCATTATCCATATAACCCCCCAATATACTATAGTAGTTTCCATTTGATTTTCCATTATCCCAATATTACCCCTCCATAACTTCTATATTCCCCCAATATTACTCTATAAGCCCTATATTACCATTATAGGGGGATAATATGGTAACCCTAAACCCTAAACCCTCCCTATATAACCCTATATAATCCCTTAAATATCCTCATTATATCCCCATTATAACTCCAATATAACCCTAATATTACTATATAACCCCTGTAAACCCTAGGTTACGGGGTCAAAGTCTACCGCTGCGTTTTGCTACATTTCACAAGAGGAACTATGCAAAAGGACTGTGTTTTGCTGGGTTTCACCACTGGAACTACATAAAACGTGTATGTTTTGCTGGATTTCATCGCAAGAACTACATAAAAGGATTGCGCCTTGCTACAGTTCGCAATAGGAGCTA